CTTCCTTTTTTTTTTTTTTTTTTTTTTTTTTTTTTTTTTATTTTCTACGAAACTATTTCAAACAAGATGCATGACAAAAATAACTATCTCCTTTTTTTTTTTTTTAATTGTATTAGTATGATGCTTTCTTTCCTAACTTTTTCTATAAAATTATTTCAGACAAGATGTTTAACCAAAATTGTATTCTTTGGCTCCAAGAATTAAGTGAAAATTGTTGAATTTTTTGCCAAAATTATTTCAATCAAAATTATTATCCAAAATTAGATGTTTTGACTCCACAAATCAAATGAAACATTTTGAATTTTTCGGCAAAACTATTTTAGTCAAAAATATTGTCCAAAATTAGATTTTTATTTTTATTTTTTTATTTTTGGCTCTAAAATAATGTGAAATGTACCAAAACTATTTTGATCAAAATTCTTGACCGAAATAGTTTAGACTCTATAAAATCACTTCATGCATTATAAACTATATTTTACTCATTTCCTTCTTCTTTCTTTCTGCTTTTCCCTTCATTCCACCTTCCACACTCGGTTTTCTCATCTTTCTCTTCCTTTTAATTATTTTCCCTCCTCATTTCTCTTTACTACTATCATTTTCTTTCATTTCTTCCTTTTTCTCATATTCTCTTTTCTTCACTTTCCCTTTTCTTTCATTCATTCCCCTCATCCTCTCTTCCATTCTCTCACATTCTCTTTTCCTCATACATTCCTTCCTTTAATTTCATCTCTTTTAATTTTTTGTTTTCATTTGCTATCTTCCTTTAATTTTAATCTTATTAGTTTATTTCTTTTACAATTTAGAAATTTGTTTCAATTAATATTGATATCAATTTTATTTTTTGCAAGATTTTATAATAGAAATTAAAGGCATTTTAAGGAGGCATCTTATTTGGTACTTTTATTTTTCTTATTTCATTAAAATTGTATAATTTTTTCTTTTTCATTAAGTTTTCCATTTAGTTTGTAAAATTTGTGATTAACTCTTTCTTGGTGTTAAGGATGGAGAAATTAAAAAAAAAGAAGTTAATAATTAACTCTCCTCCATTTAGCTTAAATTTAAATATTTTTATAAAATTTTAATTTTTGTTATATAATATCCAATTAAAAATGTTGATATATTTGGATTTGGATAAAATAAATAGATTTTAAAATATTAATTAAATATATTTTGTAATTATATAAAAATAGTAATTATATATATACTACAATTACACAAATATATCAATTTTTTTTTAATTTGAAAATAATATTTCTATCAAATATTTTGACCAAATTAGTCTAAAATAGAAGATTCCTAATAACATTTTTTATCAATTATTTTGACCGAATTAGTCTAAAATAAAAAATTTCATAATAACATTTTCGGTTAAGATGAAATTTTATCTGAATTATTATTTGATATAGTAAATATTCAAATCAACAATTCGATTAAGCAATTTGATCAAATTACTTCTTGTTCAATCAAAATTCATATTTAAACTCCCATTTCTAGTAGTGAGACTCTATTAAAAATGGTCTTGACATTATTGTACCTTCCTACTATAAAAGAAAAACTAGTAATTATTGTACCTTCTAATCCTATTCATGGAAAATTCCTGCATTTTTTAGCTTGTTGGTAGGAAATCGCACCTCATTGCCAGCGCTATATTCATCATCATGGATATCTAGTCATGAGAAAAATGATGTGAATATCCTTTACAATTTACTTTAGATAGAAAATTTCAAACCAATAACTTAAATTTACAATAATAACTATTTTTTTAATAAAAATAAAACATTTTAAATTTGAGTTATATATATATGCATATAAATAAAACGATTATAAAAATGAAAGACTTGCCTTTTTTAATCTCATTTTACAACTTAAAATTAAAAAAATAAAAATAAAAACAACCATGATCTCCTCTCGATCTCCACATATACCTGCGTTAGTGTCACAGTTTTTTTAATTGATTTTTTCTGATGGGTCATTGTTTATTAATTGATTTAAGAGTTAGGTAACAATTTTTCCAAATTGTACTGTTATATTTATATTCCATTTGCTACAATTGATAATCACGCGCTCCTACACGCGCTTTGGCTGGCCTTAAAAAATTTAAAAGGCATAACTACCCAATAAAGTATAAACAATCAGGTGCATTTGGGACCGTCAAATGCCAATGGTCCATAAATTTCAGGTTTATTCAACCTATATAATACTCCAAAAAAATCTCAACCGTTTGATTCAGCAAAGAATTGGGTCCAAAAACCAGGGCGTGTCAGTCAGATCAAACTACATCGTCAATCCACACCCCTTTGTTCATAAGGGAAAAAAAAATTTTGAAACTAGATGACAGTCTTTTTATTTTGCACCAAATTATAAAATAAAATTAGTTGAATAAAAAAAAATAACACTTAATTGGTTTAGTATAATTTAAAATGTAAAAAAAAAAAATAATAATAAAAAAGGCAAAAACCTCACAAACTTTTTATAAAAAGTAAAGCTAGGGAACAAATTTTAATACCCAATTAGTTACTTAAAAAAAAAAAGAAGTTAAAATTCGATTCAAATGCTTTCTCATTTGTCCAATCCAATCATCCCTTGAATTGTCAACTAAATTCTGCCAAATTTATTCACTTACTCTCTCTCCACCGGTCCATATATAAATTGGCCTCAACCTTCCTTATTCTTATAAGTTCATATTATATGTAATAATAAGTCAGAGAGACTAAAGCAAGTTTAGCAAAGGATTAATTCAAGTGGAGGTGGTCATGGCGGAGGAGTTTCTTCAGGCGGGGATCTGTGGCGGGACATGGTGGATGATGAATCCGTCAAAGGGTATGTTTGGCGGATGTTCTTCGCCAATTGGTGATGTTGGGAGCTTCGGATGGGGAGCTGATGTGGTGGACATCAAGCAAAGTTCCGCTTGTGAGGAGTCTAATATTACTTCGGTTTCCGATAGCTCCATGGCTTTTCCAAGTTGTCAGAAGCCGGATTCAGACAGCAGTGGTGGTGATAATGTTTTTATTGATTCCACCTTGCCAATAATGGGTTTTGGTCTTTCTTCTTCAACAACATCGGATTGGAACCCATCTTTGCTGTAAGTTTTGTTAAATTTATATTTTAACTATACCCAAAATAGTAATAAGGATGCCATTGATATCATGATTCACTGAGATACATCTCTCTTTAAACTTTCATGATTTTGGATTTGAAATTCAAGAAGACTTTTTAGTCCAAAAAACTTCAACTACAAGTTAGCTATAGTCTATAGAAAGATGAATATATTCATTTGGAAAGGAAAAGCAATTAATTATATGATCAATCAATTGAATATTTAATTATTAGATTCTTTTTTTTTTTTTTTTTTTTAATTTTGAAATTGGCGGTAACCTCAATCTGGGCCTAGAGTTGAAGACCTCCTTCCATCATGACTCGGCCCAGCCCAAAGAAGAAGCTGCCTGTTGGGTCTTGTCTCAGTGGGCTGCACCGCAAAATCATCCTGGTCCAGTCTGCTACTTTGATCTGCATACATAAAGACCAAGACACAAGACAAGAATTAGCATGACTATCCTCAATCTCTAAAGTAAAATAATGTTGTCAGATGAAAAACATCCCAGATTTACTCACCAACAATGTTGTCTACTGAGGAGGCAGTAATGAGTAGATGGACCTCCCATCTCATTGGAAAATTTTCAATCTGAAACGTTCTTTTCTTGAATCTAGAGTAATGGAGTAGTTTGTTTGCATGAGGTGATGATGTCTTTGCCCGAAAAAAGAGGAGAGATTGAAGGATTGAAGACTAAAAAGAAAGGAAGAAATCTAATAGGACCACCATAAAAAGTTAAA